AGTGGCTCATACCAGTAATCCCAGCACTTTGGGAGGCTGAGGCAGGTGGATCACCTGAGGTCAGAAATTCGAGACCAGCCTGGCCAACATGGTGAAACCCCAACTCTACTAAAAATACAAAAGTTAGCTGGGTATAGTGACAGGCACCTGTAGTCCCAGCTACTCAGGAGGCTGAGGTAGGAGAATCACTTGAACTTGGGAGGTGGAGGTTGCAGTGAGCTGAGATTGTGCCACTGCACTCCAGCCTGGGTGACAGAGTAAGACTGTCTCAAAAAATAAAAAAATTAAAAAAATTAAAAAAAGAAGGAGAACCCAGCAGGGACAGCCATGCCTCCCTGGAGCTTACCTACCGGGCTCCACGTCGTGATTTGACAGACACTCTGGTCTCCAGCCAATCAATCTCCTCTCTCTGTACCTCTAGAAAAAGTTTCCACCTGTGAAAGACCACCATCCCAGCAATGTCTTCCTGCTCTCATCAGCACAGCCTCCACCAGATAGGAATTATCCCCAGGCAGGTACCAGAGCACCTGTGGCAGGTCTCCCCATACCTTCTTCCCGGGACCTGATGTCACAGCAGGTGCTGCTGGCTGGGGAGATGCAAAGAAACATCAGTTCTCAAGGAAGTCACAGTGAAAGGAGCCTGCCCTCCCTTCACCAAAAATCAATGATTTTTGTAAAATTCCTGGGGAAACTGGAAGGAGTAAGAATGACAGAGACTTTGAGTGATGATGGTAAGATTCTTCGGGGGGACCTGAAGGCTGAGCCCCGACTCCACCAGCCCTCTGAGCCCCTCCTAGCATTGTTGGGAGACAGCAAGAGGAAGGCTCCAGGCTCTCCCGAGTGGTCTGAGGCTGCAGAGGCCGCCTGGGCTGGTCAGCCTCCCGGAGCTCCCAGCCCCCAGCCCCTCCCAGGCTGCACTCCCCTTGCCATCCCTAAAGGAGGGGAACTGTCTAGGGCTACATTTACTCTGGCAAATTATTGTTTCCAGATGGCTTGGGGCCAAAGCCATGTCATTTGCTGCAATCTCTGCATACAGGAGCTGGGCCAGCAGGATGCCTGGGGACACTGCAGGGTCTCTGAGAGAGGCTGCAGAGGTTCCCAGCAGCAGTGTGGCGTCGCTGTGGCTGTCCATCTCCAGGCCTGGGGCTGGTCCCTCCACCCCCTTCACCTGCGCTGAGCCATTTCCCATGGAGGTGCAGGGAGAGAGACTCCAGTCCTGGCATTCAGCCGGGGAGAGGCACTGCTGCAGGAGTGAGGGGCAGCTTACAGCTTCCACACCCATATCCTGCCGTGGGGAACAGAGACGAGTCTTGGCTCTGCCACCAAAGGACCCTGTGACATCAGCAAACCTGGGCCTCAGTTTCTGTAGTAAGAACAAGTATAGAAACTGGAGAAACCAATAGCTCTCGTTCGTTTCCTTCACGGTGGGTTTATACGGTCTCTTCGGCTTGCATTTTTAGCGTTTAGCAACCATCAAGTGATGTAGAATTGAGCCTCTAAATGTAGAAGATATAACTATACTGAGTTATAGCGTTGTATGGTTACTGAGTATTGAGGATAACTATATCAAGATATCTTAGTACAGAAGATTCTTATTAGATATAACCAATATGCTTATTCTTATTTATATCCAATAAGCATCTTCTATATTGACTATCTTCTATATTCCAGGTGATGTCCATGTATTTTCTTATTTAATCTCCACAGCAACTCAGTGGAGGTACTGCTATGACTCCCATTTTACAGATGAGGAAACTGAGACTCATAATGAATTAGACTCAGATAATGAATTGCCCATTTGGTGGCCATTGACAGTATACCACAGGTAACAGTGGCTTAAGCAAGATAGCTTCCAAGATTGCTGAAAGGTATATATTTATTTATCTAATATGTAGAAGTCAAGAGATAGTTACCCACAGTGGTTCTAAAGCTCTCAGTGTCAGGTATCCCAGGTCCCCCTATCTTGTCACTTTATCCTTTGTTCCCAAGGTCACCTCATTATCCCCGAGGACCACACCTTCTCTTTATTATAGATGGTCCCAGAAGTTGTCTGTGCCTCTTCTGCTTACATTTCATTGGCCAGAACATAGCCATATGGCCACATCTAGCAGCAAGGGAGGCTGGCAAATGCAGTGATTGTTTTGGGTGATCCTCTGCCCACGAAAGACTGGCGCTTTATTGCAATAAAGGCAGTTAGGGGTGGTTAAGACCGTAGACTTCCCATTAAGTGAGACTGCCTGGGCTTAGTCCTGTCTCCATCACATACCAATGGTTACCCTGTGTAGTTCATTCTTTATTTATTCAGCAGTAGTCATTGGGCGTCTACTATGTCCCAGGCACTGTTCTGGGAACTAGGGATACATCAGTGAGCAAAAAAGCAAAGACATCTGCCCTTGTGGAATTTATATTCGAGTGGAGGGAGATAAACGAGCTAATGACACACAGTGTGCTGGGGAGTATTCTGTGCTGGGAGAATGACAAAGCCGGGAAGACACAGAAAGCGTTATGTCTGCACAGGGGCTGGGTAGCGCCCTAGGAGGAGCTGGCACTTGAAGAAAAACCTGGATGAGTGTGTCCCAAGGAGGGAGCCTCCGTGCAAAGGCCCCAAGGCAGGAGTGTGCCTGGCTTGATTGAGCAAGGAGGCAGAGTGAGGGTGAGCTGACTTGGGGATCAGGACCTGGGCTCTGCTCGGGATGAGACAGGGCTGCAGGAAGAGGGCAATGAGGAAGGAATGACGATCAACAGACCCCCCGGGCTGCTGTGCTGGGAATAGCCTTCGGGGCAGAGAGAGAGGAGGGAAGCTCAGCAGCAGGCTGCCAGGGCGAGCTGGAGAGAGGCAGTGTGGCCGGGCTGCGGGGGGCAGTGCATGGGAAGTGGGGGGAGCTGTGAGGATTTGCCAAACCATCACCTGTGGGATGCAAGGGAGAGAGAGAAGGATGACTCCAGGTTGGCCTGAGCGGTGGGAGGTGGAGCCGCCCACTTTCCAGGAAGGGGGCAGCTGTGAGTGCAGCAGGTCTGGGGTAGGGGCCGGGGAGGGGAGTGCGAGGAGCCTAGGCTCGGACACAGAGAATACAAGGGGCTGTTGGCTGAGAGCAGGAAGGCAGGTGCATATGTGAACCTGGAGTCCCGGGAGAAGCCCAAGGTGGAGACATACATTTGGGATTCATTTGCCTATGGGGATATTTAAAGGTTGCAAAGAGCTGAAACGAGATTAAGGAGGTAAGTATGGTTATTTAATCTGTGTGTGCCTCAGTTTCTCCATCTCTGAAGGATAGGGAGTAAATGCAGTGAACTTTAAAGTGCTTAGACCAGGGCAAGGCCACAGCAAAAACATCTGTGCGTGTTGTGGTGGTGATCATTACTGCTCACGCAGGCAGCTGTTCACCGTCCCGCCCCCTCCCCTCCACAGCCGGGCCAGTGAGGCGCTGGGCGACCGTGCTGGGTGCTTGAGGGGAGCAGGGCTTAGGTTGCCTGAGAGTCACCTTTCCTGCCATTCAAGGCCTTCAGAACTCTGCCCACCTTCCAGACTTTACCCGATGCTGCTCCTCCCAGGCCCTCCCCGAAGCCCCTGCTCCCCTCACACTGCGCCAGTCACTCCTGCCAAGTACCTTAGGGTGGCTCCTTCTCTGCTGCCCCAGGAGGCTCGGTATCTGCCCGCTGCTGGCCCAGCACCTCCTCCACCTGCCGTCCCTCCAGGTCATGCTCTTCAGAGGCCAGTTGAGAAGACCCGTTTAGGTGGTCCTGAAGGGACAAAGGATGCCCCTCAAGGTGGACCTGGCTGTCCAGTGCTCAGGAGGTTTATGTAATGACCATGTTTTCTGGCCCTAAAAGGAGGACCCAAGGCCTGGCCACACCCCGGGCAGCACTCCCCAACTGGCGGGACGGTGGGTGGGCACTTCCGAGCACTGTCCTGGAAGGCAGAGCCCCTGGCTGTGGCCGCAGTTGAGGAAGGGGCAGCCAGCACGCACAAGCCAGCACGGCCCCCAGAAGTCCGCATCCCAGTGCCACCCCCACTACCGCTCACCTGAGTCCCAGGGCTCCCTGCGGCCGGAACCCTCTGTGCACACCTGGGCCACAGCAGCACCCTGGGCTATCTTAGTGCGGGATGTGAAGTGTGTGCAGCCTGCCATGGTCTGCAGGCTCCCTGTCCTTTACCCTTTTTCCGACAGCTGTGGCTTTCCTTGGATGAAGAAATGGTGCCCATTTTTGCCCATTTCTGGACTCCACTTCATGAAGGAGGCTGCATGGGGTTGGAGGGAATATTGCCTCTTGTCTCTGTAACCCTTTGAGGGCACTGTCAGGGTCAATGTGGCCAGCCCCACTCTGGACAGATGACAAGGACCACTGTCCCCCCTTCACTGCAGAGGTGAGGGCACATGACCAGATCACATAGCTACTGCATCGGGACAGAAGCAGGGACTGAACCCCAGGCCTTCCGACTCCCAATCCAGGCCGCCCTCTGCACCACACTGCCTGGCTCCCAGCCACCAAAAGACACCCTGCTTCTGGGTTGTGAGATAAGAGTTGCAAAGCACGGGGGTGGATGTGGGGCTCGGAGGTCAACCCAGCTGGGCTAGAATCTCCCCTTCGACCTCCTGGGGCTGCAGACAACCACATAACTCTCTGTGCCTCAGTTTCTTTCTAGTAAAAGACTAATAAATGTTGATTGGGAAGATTCAATGCCTTAAAGCTCTTGCGAGAGGTCTGAGCATGTAGTACCCACATGATCAGTACTTGCTGCCATTGGTATTTCTGACGGGTTATTTAGCACATGTGTCTATAGCCGGCTCTGGTGCTGCAGTGCCTGCCTCTTAGGCCTGCCCAGGTTTCCCTGGGTCTCAGGTTCTAGACCCGCCTGGGAGAGTTGGGCTCTGGGGGGCCTCCCAGAGGCTGATGGGCATCTGTGGGGTCCTGGCTGGTGCCGGGTCCCCCAGAACTCCTCAAGGGCTCTTCCTGTTCAGCCTCCAGCTCCCTCTAATGCAGGCCTGGCGTCTTTGCAGATTTTAATGAGAACGGCTTCATTGATGAGGAGGACCTGCAGAGGATCATCCTACGACTGCTCAACAGTGACGACACGTCTGAGGACCTGCTGGTGGACCTCATGCACCACGTGTGTGCTGGGGGCTAGGAGCTGGTGGCTGGGGCTGGGGATAGGGGCCATGTTGTCACCCAAAGCCCCTAGATGTCAGGCCACCCTCTTGGGAGGAGACCCAGGGCCAGCCTGAGGCAGATGACACATTGGCCTTTGGTATACACAATTCCTGGGGGCTGCCAAGGGGACAGGCAGCTCAGGGTGCCCTGAGGAATGGGCAGACAACTGGAGGCAACTGCCCTTTGACTTTCCATCCTTCCTCAAGACCTGCCCAGGGTCCCCAGAACACTGCGCCCGACCCACCCACTCGAGGGGCCTCCCTACATGGCGGAGACTGCCGGTGGCTGGCCAACAGCAGCTCAGCCTTAGAGGGACCTATCTCAACACCTCCTCGCCACACTGTCGCAGCGCGACACAACACCCAGGTGTCCTGGAGTGACAGACATGAGGATGGCCCCACAAACTCAAGTCAGGGCCTGCACCTCAGCTTTCAGAACATGACAAGCCTCCAGCATTTCCAGTCTCGATGGGGCTAGAAGGAAGATGAAACCATGAGCACTGTTGAGGGAGTCCCCACCACCTCCCGGCCTGCCTGGGCCCCCTGTGTTACTGATTGGAGGGGCAGGTTGGGGGTACTCTTGTTCTCTCACGGCCAGGCTGGTGCTAGAGCCCCCAAAGAGTGAGAGAGGCAGTCTGCAGGGTCCCCAGCCTTGGTGCATGTAACCTCATCTCTGTAGGGTCACTGGGGTCAGGGGACCCAGGAGATGAGTGTTAAGCACGTGGCAGAGTCCCTGGCATCTGGCAGCCCCTGGCATGTGGCTCTCCCCCTCCACCCCCTGCTTCACCTCACTGCCTGGCACCAGGTCCCACTCAGCCACCTTCTGTGCTCCGCCACCAGGTCCTGAGGGAGTCGGATCTGGACAATGACAACATGCTGTCCTTCTCAGAGTTTGAACATGCAATGGCCAAGTCTCCAGATTTCATGAAGTAAGGCATTCTGGAGGGGCAGGACTGCCCAGAAGAGTGGGTGGGGGGGGCAGGAAGGGCCCCCCAGTATCCCCTCAGTCCATGGGACACCCAGTCTCCCCTCAGTCCATGGGACATCTGTCTTCCCAAGGAGGTCATGAGTTTCCAGGAGACTTTGCAGATTCTTTCAGAATCAGCAAAACTGGAGCTTCTGAGAAATAGGTAACCCTGGGGCATTAAAAGGCAGAGGTGGGGATTGGATTCCAGGCTCTGAGAATGATGTCACACCTCCAACCTCAGAGCACTCCCCCCGCCAGCCGGCACACCTCTGTGCTTCTCCTGAGGCCCACTGGGCTCCTGGACGACCCCACCGCCTCCAGCAGCCTACTGGGAGTTGGGGCTTTGCAGGCAGGATCTGAAGATGCTGGTGGTGGAGCTCATAGAAGAAAACAGACAATGAGAGAAGCACCCAATTCCATTTCTTAGAGTGATGGGGGGGAGGGGGCAAGGGTCTTCTGTGGCCCAAATGTCCCTGAGAAGATTAGCCGTCTCCAGATCTCCTTGGCCATGATGAAGTCTTTTTGGGGTTCTGCTGGTTTTGGGAGACGCATGCCCCCTGGAAGCAGGGCGTGCCATGGAGGAAGAGCCAGGGGGAGCTGGTGTCTGAGGGCTGGCATCTCCTGCTCCTGGGAGCAACTCGGCCAGCCAGTCTCAGAGGCATGCTGATTTGGAGTGTGCCCACTTAAGGTGATTTTACAGACCAAGGAAAACAGAACAAAGAGCTAGACCTCAGCCAGCACCAGGACAGGAGCCCGGGGCCACTGGGTCCCTCCGTGCCGACGTCTCCGCCTCCCCTCGGCCCTCCACGCTCACTCTGTGCTGTGCACCAGGTGTCTCTGCTTTGTCACAAAGTTCTTTCTTTCAGCTCCTTTCGGATTCACTTCTGGGGATGCTGATGTGGCTGCAAACACCTGGCGTGGCAGCCTCACGGGAGAACACCGGAATCGAGTCCCCTCCGCTGGTTTCACGTATGACTTTGTCCTGGGCCCACCCTCACCTCTAGAATATTCTTTATTAGATAAAATAAAAACCCTTTTCCTTAGCCCATCAGATCATCACTTGTGGAATGCAGGAGCACACACGTACTTTTAATTAAGAACTGCCCATTCCAGTTCAAGCAGGCTGTGGAGGCGATCGTTTTGAGGGAAGAGTTCAAATCTCAACCCACGTCATAGCAGGGGACCAGGCCAAATGGGATGAGGGTCCCTAGAAAGACACACGCTCTTCCCTCCCTTCATCAGAACCCCCGACCCCCAGCACCTCGCAGCCCCGAGCTGCACATAGCAGCCATTCCAGCCGGCGCCCGGCTCCCCACTCCCCTTCCAAGGGAGAAGGCATCTTGGCCCTGATTGTGGAACCAGCAATCAGAGTTTATTTGCTTTGCTATTCAGCCAAGCCCCGGAATGAAATTGGCCTCCACAGAGTCTTTGGGGCCCAGCTCGTTAGGGACTTGGAGGCACAGAAGAAGCCCCTCATAGGGTTTATCGTACTTATACTGTCCTGGGGAAGGTGTCTATCACTGGCTACAGAGGAGGGGCTGTTTCAGTCCCAGCGTCCTTAAACCCGGCTGTGTTCCCCTTGCCATTAGGTCCTGACTCGCCCACTAAAGGGCAATAAGGGCCTTGTTGCTTCATGGAGTGCCCTTGATCAAATCCAAGAGGTGCTGGAATGTTGAAGAAGGTCTCTATCTTGGCTTGAGGTCCCCACCCCAAATCCTGCCACTGAGGGGCTCTCACCCATGTCCTGCCCCTGCCCCAGCAGGCAGAAGCCTCCTGGGCTGTGAGAAGCAGCAGCCTGGTGGGAGTGGACCCTCCAGACCTCAAAGACCACCCTAGGCCTGCGGCCTCAGCACCCATGCCCAGCGTCCACTTCTGGCCTGGGACCCCAAAACATAGGTATTCCTGGAAGAGTGGCCTGGTCCTCGGTCATTCCCTCCCACCCTCTTCTAGAAACAGCTTCAGGGGTAGATGCCGCATCCACCCGTCCAAGCCAGCCTGGGCAGAATGCAGGAGGCGCCTGCTGCTCACAGCTTCTCCCAGGCTTCACCCTCCACAGGGGCCTTCAAGATCCCCAGGTCTGTGTCCTGCCTGCCCCTCAGTCTCCACATGGACCGCAGGCAGGCTGTGTCATGGGAAAACTGGGGCTTGGGAGTCAGAAAGACCTGGATTCAAATTCTGTCTGTGTTACTTCCCATACTTCCCAGCCGGGTGAGCTCGGACAACATTCTCACCTGCTCCAAGCCTCAGTGTCCTTATCGGTAAAGAGGAGATAACACCTCCCTCACAAGTGATCGTGTGGACCAAACAATGCCACATCAGGGCTCCGATGAAAATTCCTTTCCAATCACACCCAACGCAATTGTGCTGGGGCCACGTCCCCTTCATTCTCAGATCAGGGTAATCGGGCGTCCTTGCTGATACCAATGAATCAGGTGGGAGGTCTCTGTACCTGAGTGACCTGCCACTAAGACTTGGGAACCCTACATTCCTCAGTTCTACTTGCCCTGCCTCGGGGAGAAGGTAGGTGGACCTGCCAGGTAGCCGGACACTGCTTTTCCTTTGCTTGAGTCCCTGGGGCTGAGCTCTCTTCAGGCCCTTAGCTACGTGACCTTCAGGGGCATTTTCTACTGTGGCCCAGTGTCCTTGGGATCCAGAAGAGAGGTGGGAAGGATAGTCATGCTAAAGATTTTATTCCAAACAAGCTGGGCTGCTCACGGCCCAGGACCTCAGGCATCAGGCACCTGGTCTCATGCTCTGAACTCGAAGTAGCAGTCTCTCTTTTGCCGCTCTTGTGGAGAGACCTTCTTCCCTGATGGGAAGGTCTGGTAGGTCTTCAGGTTCTCAGGAGCTAGTCTTAAAAGGTGCCACTTCCCCTTCGGGCTCAGAGGAGGCCTAGGGGTGAGGATGGGACTGGTGTTATGTGGTGTGCCAGGGAAGGAGGGTGATACATGCCCACCCACAGCCCCACGTGCCCACTCTCCAGCTCACGCTGGCCTGCTGGCTACTCATCAGTTTAACCCTGATAAGGCCCCTGGACTTGGGGCGGGAATAACCTGTATTTATATAACCACTACTTATATAGTGGTTAAGAGTGAGCCCTCAGGTGTCAGACCGACCTGGGATAGACTCTGGCCCTAACTCCTGGAAGAATGGCCCAGTGGTGGTATCCCCCTCTTAGCTTTGACTTGAGGAAGAAATGCAGTAGTGCATGCAAAGCTCTGGACGAGGAGTAAACACACAACAAATGTTCTAAGACATGATGATGGTGCTGATTCGGGGGACTCCAGGACAGGAGGGGCTCGCCCCAGGCCAGTCACTGACCCTCTTTCCCCAACCACCTGGTTGGTCCTTTGCATTGGTTGTGAGACTGTCAGCAGCAGAGCAAGTGGCCAGGGAATTTGGAGAAGGAACAGAGTCGGGGTGTCCCCACAGAGATGGGGACGGGGGTGGATCCTGGCCAGAGCAGTCTCAAGAGGATACCTGTCTCTAAAAGAGTCCCTAGTCCAGGGATGGACTGGCTTAGAGCCATCCCAAGTTGGAGAGAGCCCCCTGAGTCCCAGAGTTGGTGATGGGAGATGCTGCTTCCTTTCTAAGCTCTGCTTCCAACCAGCGAGGCCATGCAGCACAAGTTCCCCAGGCGACCACTGAGCCTCAGGCTCCCTTTTTGTAAAATGATGCTGTCTAGCTTGCAGAAAGGAACTTTTAGAGGCAGTGAAGTCTGTTTCTTTAAAAACCATTAAACTTATGGAAACAGATGCTGCTTTATCAGTATGGATGATGGTGACTCTCAGGACACTGAGGCAATCAGGCAGTGGTTGGCATGGAGCTAAATCCCAAGCTCTATCTCCTGATCTCCCAGGCCAGACACCAGCCACCACGCTACCCCAATCCCAGGACACCTCGTGTGGACCAGTGGTCCCCCTGCCTGCGCTTCAGGAAGGAGACAGCGCAGAAACCACAGTATCCAAGTCATCTTTCAGGGCAGAATGGGCCTTCCCTGGAGAAAGGAGCTCTCCTAGATAAAAGCAGTGAGGGGCAGGCGGCAAGGAACTTTTCTATTTTGTTGGATGGACAGAGAGTCCTTAGGAGAACATTTTCCTAATGTAGACAGGGGTGGGAAGGTGGTGGGGTGGGGAGCAATTCCTCAGTGTAGTGCCCTTTGTGGCCACCAGAGAGCAGCAGCTCCTTACTGCTCGCTGCATCAGCGCCCACGTTTGGACGAGTGTAGCTGCCAGGCTGCCTCTGCAGGGCGGCAGTCCGCAGATTCAGGCCCGCTAAGCTAAATGATTGCAGTTTTCTGCCAAACTCCCAATGAATCTGGCTGGGAAAGCACTCTTCCAGATTCACCCATTCAGGCTACCAGCATCCCCTCTGAGGCTGCCAATGCCCTTGTTCTGTCACCATCACTCTTTGCACTGCATGTTTTAGGGTGAGATCCTCAACTCATTTCTCAGTCTGTGTGCTTTGCACGCCTGGCTGAGAGCAGGCGCCCCCTGGGCTGGGTGCGTTTTTTGACTGTGTGGATGAAGGAGGCAGTCACTCACAGGACGGTGGGGAGGGGATACCGTTCCGGCTCCCTCACAGGCAGCACAAAGGAGGCGACGCGAGGCACCATGCCCGTCTTGTCTTGATAGTACTTCCGATGCTCCTGGACAGTCTATGGTTCAATCGAGGAAGAGGTGACAGGTTGTTAGTGTGCAGGAATGACCCCAGGCACCTGCAGCCCATGCCTTGCTGTACCTGGTCAGGGTTGGGGACTACCTCCCCGAATGCCCCTGGAGGAGTCCCAGCATTGCTGGGGCCCCAGCTAAATTGCCAACCCACTGGGTATCCTCACTGAGCCTCGATTTCTCATCTGCCTAATGGGAATGATGACACCCACCTGACCAGCTTTGCTGCGAAGAGTAAACAGAGACAAGGGATCAGCTAAGACCAAGTACAAAAAACCCAGCCCCACAGGCGCCCCCACACCTGCTGTGCACACAGCCTCCTTGTCCGCCTGGCTTGTGTTTACTCCTGCCTCTCCTCGCTCTCTGTACAGGGCATGTTCTGTGTGGGAGCCAAGAAGAAGGCAGAAGCTTTCACAGACCCCAAGATGGTCGCACCTGCCTCAGAGGCTGATGGCATCGGCCTCCTCCTTCCTGGAGGAAGCTGCCTTACGCATACAAGTTCTCTGCCCTGGGGCCAGGACATACCTGTGTCCTTGCAGTCAGGCTAGAGGAGGATGCTTGCAAGAGAAGGTGATGGGGAGAGTAAGGTTTTTGGAATACAGGAAAGAATGAACCCTCATCCCCGCCAAGGTCATGAGGGCCAGCTCAGGCCGCTGTGCACCTGTGGTCTGTGGGGACACGTCTGAACTACATCCAGGAAGCCTTTATCAGCCCAGACAGCGGGACGAGAACGGGGTGTAGGGGGGTCCCCTTCCTCGGGCTCGCTCCTCGAAGGGCAGCCTCACCCAGCCTGGGGCTAAGGGTGACTCAGGGCACACCCACTGGGGGTGGGGCTGCAGGGCAGGGAGAGGTGAGTGGGCTCCAGAACACAGGTGGATAAACACTATGGGCTGGACCTGGGGTCGGGGGCTTTAGTGGGGCCTTTGCCTGTGTGCTATTCATCGAAGGTGAGGGTGGATCTTAGACCTTTTACTCACCTAGAAAATATATGGCATTCCACAGACCCAAGAGACTCCGGGGGGCAGAAGGTAAGGGCAGGAGCACCCCTAGAGACCCCTAGCTCCACTGGCAGTGGGGGTGAGCAGGAAGAGGAGGCCCTGAAGCCCCAGGAGGTGGGAGGAGATCGGGGAGGGGGGTGGACAGAGTCCTGAGACTCCATTTAGCTAAACCCGCCACGATCCCTGCTGGCTCCGGGGCTCTGAGAAAGGAAATTGAGACACTGTGGCAGGTGCGAGGTCTCCCCCCCGCCCCTGGTCCCCAGCTACCAGTCCCTCCCATGGCGAGGCAGGTGGGCAAGAGGCCCCAGTGCGGCCGGCGCAGCTTACCTCGTAGAAGTGCGTGAGCTCCGTGGAGCGGTGGCTGTCCAGGTTGAA